CCCCCCACTTACTATCACCCCGCAGCGCCCGCACCCCCGCCCCCACCGCCTGCCCAGGATCCCGTCCAGCCGGACCGACCCATCGGCTACGGGGCCTTCGGTGTCGTTTGGTGAGTAATTGAAACAAAAAAAAATATATTTTTTATGTTACTCTATTGTGGCACAGCAAATTTATAATTAGTTATTTAAGGCCGGTCGAAGAGCAACACTGAGAAAAAATATTCTTTTACTTTCAGTATTTTTTTTAAAACATTACAAGATTTGTGTACAAAAGAAATTAAAATACAATACAAATTTACACTAATTTTATTTCAAATTCTAACTTCTGAATAAATAATATGTATTTTGGGAACTCCATCACCTGGACCAGATCTTTCTCCGCGAATGTTTTTAAACCTAATATTTGAAACTTGCGAATATATCTGTGAAAACTTCTGAAATTTGAACAGAGAGGCGCTTGTGGAAGGAGCTAGAAAGTTCTCAAGAATTGTTTCTTCAAAAGATTTCCCGTCATTCTGATTCATTTTAAACTCGCGTCGAGTATTTCACGTTATTCGAAATTGTTTTTGATTATAGCAAACGCGACCGAGAATAATTCCAATGATCTTTCTAAAACGTACAAGTTCTATTAGAAACGTTCAAAAGCGAGGAAAGTAAGTAGTAGTCCCGCGGTGAAGTATTATTTTTGTTCTCTTTCCTTACTTGTGGACGCGGGGAGCTTATATCTACGTTTACCGCTCGCGCGCGCTCACGTAGACGATGCTCCCGTAGAAAGTGGAGCAACAAGGAACGGCAATCGTAGATCACTCGCAAGGTGTATTCTGGTGGAGAGCAAACTGAAGAAAACTCGTTTGCCCTTTTCCACGTTCCGCGCGAGTCCCGACTTCCGCTTTTTGCGGCTTACGGAAAGAGCCGCAGCGCGAGCAAAGCAACGAAACACGCGCTGTTTAGCTTGTATGAAAAAGTCACGACCAACTCACGTGACTTCGTTAACATCCCGAAAGCAAATTGTGTGTGCTTCCCGAAAATGCTACTGTGTATTATGTCTGTTGTCGCGAAAGTTGATCACGTGCGGTTGTGTATACACACACATGAATAATTTGATAGAAAATATATTTGAGTAAATAAAACGCTTACTAAATGTGTGTGTGTGTGTGTGAATGCGAAAACTTTTATTTTATTCATTACACGCACATTGTACGCGTTCTTTTGTGTACATTTTTATCAAAAAAAAACATATTGTAAATAAAAATATGTTCTCTATATATTTTAATGATATTTTGGTACTATATTTCCATTACGCTCATTGTGATAAAGTTGTGGAAAGTTCCGGAACGTGTCCGGAAAAAAACATTAAATTACACGACATTCTCAAGTTTGTATCTTTATCAAAAAGGGGGGAAGCAAGAGCCACCGTCTAAATTTACTTGGAGAAGAATTGTTATTCTTAGCTGAAAATTATGTGTGTGTGTGTGTGTTGAGAACGTGTAAAGTGCCCGCGCGGAAGAGAAAAAGAGCAACGCCGATAACATCGGATATTCCAATATTGGCACTTTATAACGAATGAATTAAATTCGCCGCTCTCTCTCTCTCTCTCCCTTCCGCCATTGTGAAAAAAATCGCGTGACGAAAAACAAAAGCTCTATAACAGTATTTGTATTACGACACTGTTCACATATTTATCATGGTCATATATATAACCGGGAATATTTACGAGGAGACAACATTTTTCCGCTCTCTCCCGCCTCGTTAGCCGCGGAAGAAAATTTCGCGGCTTTTCCCGCGCTTTTCCCGCCGTGCGCAACGGAAAGGAACGTTTATGATTTTTTTCTTGCGCGCGCGCGCGCGGGTTGCATCGCGAAAATCCCCGGGTTTTGAATTCACTTCTAGCTTTGCAGCGACACAACGATATAGAGTTCTCTCCGACTCCCATGGCGTGCGGAATGACGTATTGTCGTGTGAAGTCGTTTGCTTGATTTATCTACCTTTAAGAAGCGAGCGGCCGCTCCACGCTCAATCTTGCATCCGATCGCACACAGAAGGTGTTCGCTTTAAGACGCAGTTGGTGATGATCTTCGGATTTTATATAAATGTTTTATTTGACGCGATATTATTTAAATATCTTTTTTTAACTATATATGGTGTATTATACTGAACACAAGAACTTGTCAAGAACCTACCGTTCGTAAATTTTGATCCTCCACGATTCTCCTATATCGTTCGAAGTTCATTCGTTAGATGTGAGATAAGATGCTCTCTCAAAATATTCCGCGCTGGATGGGTTACGAAAAGGTCGAGAGTTAAGAAAACGGCTCTTATCTCGGCTTGCGGTCGATCCCGATGACGTTGGCGCGCGCGCGAGGTATATCGGAGATCGAGCTTCGCGATCAATAAAAGTGCGCGCGTTGGATTTTATCGGCTCTCTTAATTAGGAGTTTAGCCCTTCTTTAATATCGGACAAGTTCGTCGACCTGTAAACCGAGCGAAGATCGCCTATAGCGTGCGAATGGACGAGACTGAAGCGCGCCTCGACCTTATTCCCTCGAGCTGACTTAGGAAAATGCGAGAGGAGAAAAGAGAGGGGGAGAAAGAAGCGAGCTTTCGCTAAAGTTGCACTTTTAGCGATTTCGCATCACTCGGCACTTTATACCGGGTTTTTTTTTCTTTTTTTTTTTTTTTTTATCAAGCGTCGTTCATAAACGAGAAATTAACTCTCAAACATTTTGTAAAGTTTTAACTTCTTGTTTTTTTAATCGTTTCAAGATGCGTTGCTCGAAATTGATACGATGTTGTTAAATCCGATTTAAATTGCGTTCCAGTACTTCGACCGGGGTATTCACAGTCAAATCTTATATTTAGGATCGTCTTAAGTTCATGATGCTCTATAGTAAACGAGATGGACCGTACGGCATTTTACGATAAACTCAAGACGATCTTCAAT